CAGATGTATACCATGTGCATGTTCTTTATATGGCGCATAGGTTCTATGCATGAAAACTCATTAAAATTAAGACACTAACATGTTTCAGGTATATGTTTATGCCAGGTTGAGAAGTGGGAGAAAAACCAGGTGAGATTATTGAGACAGAAGGTATTGGAAAATAAAAAATCATGGATTTTTCTAGGTGTTTCTAATGTTTTTGGAAGTTTATAATTCAAACAAAGCTGAATAATAACTGTTAATAACAAGGCCTTCAGGAATACTGGTACATTTCCCTAATTTCTGTACATCTCAGTCATTGATTTGCTACCTTATTAAAAACTATTTAATTGCCTGCTTTTAACGCCTCACCATCGTTATACTGCACTGCTAACCAGCATGTTTGCCTTAGGTGCTTCCTAACAGTCATTCATATAGGAATACGTTGAAACACCCAGAACCCCATGTAGACTTGAGGTAGCGTGTAGTTCCACATACGTAATAGGAATCCCTTAGAATTCCTACATCATCTGCACAAACTCGGGTTAAGCCCCTTAAAGAATGAGGTAGAGATTAACCCTTTTTTTCCAACTCAGAATGCCATGATCTTGAGGGTACTGTTTGCCTCATGCTGCAGCGATGAATTTCTATTCATTGTGTGTAGCACCTTACATGAGGGATATAAATGAGCTGCAAAAGAGTCAAAAGAGGTAGGCAGTAATTTATTCTAATCTATGTGATGGGAAACCTAGGAAACTAGTCTTGCCAAAGTGCACAGAAAAGGTAATTTGCCACAAAGGGAAGGAGTATGGACTTATTCCCACTGGCTGGCTAAGTTGTGTTTTGACTCGTAATGCTTTAAAACTGCTAACTAATACAATTTTAGTTTGGCCTGCTGCTGATGGTAATAGAGTTTTGGACTGAAAGATCCTGGGCTCTTACCTGACTGATTCTTACAGTGTGTGTGTAAGGATTGTAGGGATCATCTGTGTATTCCACTTTTGGGTGAGGATTTTATTTGAAGATGATTAAGAGCGCTCAGTGAGGACATTAATGGAATGTAACAAAGGGGAATTCATTTGAGGAATGGAGGGGATGAGTCTAGTATGTCTTGTGGCATAGTTACTTTTGGCTCAGCAGCCCTCATCCATTATTTACTTCTCAAACTGATAAGGATGCCAGAATGCCTCCTGTTATCTTTTGCAAAGTGTGGCATGTTATTTCTGGACTTCTTAAAAAGTGTTGCGTATGCTAGCCACGATGCTGGCCAGGGCAACTGTTTAGAAAGACACATTGCGCATTTAGGACAAACTGCAGAAAATAGTTTATCTGCCTGTTCTATTGCTTTAACTCAGGGTAGTGATTTGTATTACTTTTTGAGGGGTGCGGATGGATTTTCATCTTCAAATCATTGCTTTAAAATTTTTATTTTCAGTCCTTTGGTGGGTATAGCCAAATGCATTTATGGTGGAGCTGGTAAGTTTTCAGAACAATTTGCAAGGTTACTGTCAAATTGCCTTCTTACTGACTGAGTGAATTAGCTGTTGCAGAGAATCTAGGATTTGTGCACCCTTCTATGTGAAAAATCGCATGCTGCTCAAGTTTCTTTCATCTCTCCTGAGTTGAAGAATTAAATCAGAGGATTCTGCAACAGAAAAAGGAAGGTAGGAAACAAACAGAAAACCGAACATGGGCAAAGGTTAGGTGCAGCTGGAGACAATACTACAGCCTACAAGTAAAAAATGGAGAGAGTGTTGCAGCATTGCAGTCTTGGCTGCCTGATCTACTCTTCCTGTTCTGGAGACCAAGAGCAAAAGGAGGTGATAAATTGTTGAGGGCCTTGGGATTAAAACAGCATGATGGAGTTAAATGAGCTCCTGAGAGCTTCCTGGGAATCATCTCCAAGTGCTCAAGTGCTGCAAGTGAAGAAAGAAGGAAATACCCAAAGAACTGCCCGAAGCAAAGAAGTTGACTTCTTTCAGCACAGCAATAGTGGTCACTGAGCGAGCAGAAACATGCTAAAGCTTGCAAAAAAAAAGAAATTGTTATAGGTATGGGGAAGCATACATTAGCTTTTACTGTTTTTATCTGGTGCTCTGTGTACTTTGTATCTTTGGGTGGAATAATATATAATGCTTTCTTTGGGGAAAGCACGAGTTATCTGTTGATGTAAGACAGAAAGGGAGTAAAGCTTATGATGTTAACAAGGAAGTTGGGATTTTCTCTTCAACATGTTCAACGAAGAGGAGGGAGTTGCAGCTTGTGGTGGAAGCAAGGAGTGACTGGTCCAATAAAAAACATGGGTGCTTGGGAGGCAAACCTGAGTGGGTATTAAAGGCTGAAAAGATCAACTTCTATACTTGCAACTGTGACAGTCATGAATGGATTGACGCTTTCACTGAGTTTTTTCCTCTGAGTACTGTTAAGGCTAGCTTAACAGACTTATTGTCTAACAAGTGTTGTCCTCAAGGGATAGTCTCCAATCTTACTATAATGATGTCTGCTATTGGCAAAATGTACTTGATAGAGAAACTAGCTTCCTCGCATCTCATTTATATTCTACATAATTATTCTGGTTATTCTTGATTCACATCTGTGCTTGAGGGAAGAGAATCAGTCAGTGGATTGAGGCTTTTTTTGGTTTATGCTGGAGTTTAAGATCCTTCCTTTGTTCCTAACTTTATCCACTCATTTAAATGAGATATGCACATTTTCTAGTCCAGATACAGACCTTCCTAAATGTGAAATTCAAAATGTAGATCCAAATATTACAAATTCCAAAGTTTTCATATTCAGCTTGTGGTAGATATGGTAGTGAAAAGGAGCAACTCCATGAAATAATACAATGTCCTGATGTAGTCCATTGAAAGCATTACATCTATTGAATAAGTCAATCTAAAGTGAGGTTAATTTAAAAGAGCAGACTATAGTTATCATCACAACTGAGTAGTTGATTTGGCTTATTCACTACACAGCATTTGGTTAGATTTAGATGTGGTTTAGAAGTGAAGAGGTATAAATTTAGGGCAATGAAAAAGGGGAATCCTGGTTTCCAAACTGTGTATACTGTGCAAAGAGTGTGGTTACAGTGCATACTATTTTTGAAGCATGGGAATACCCTAATGTCTTTAACTGACCTAATCTTTCATCAGTCATTTTCAGATGGGCTTTATTTCCTTCAAGAAGGGGAGTATCATGAACTAAACCCCAAAATAACCGAGCTAGAAGCAGCTGGCCTGTCTGATTCATAGAACATTCAAGCCTGCCATGTTAAGTTCATAGGACATTCAATCTCTTCATATGGTAACCAGTGCTCTGATCTGCTCAGAAGTTAAATGCCACTCATTCAATTTATCAAATATATTTTTTCACACACCTGTATCACCTTTCTCCAGAAAGATGCCATTGTTTTTATGTATTACTAATTTTATTTCCGACAATTATATTTTTTAATTAATTTATATTGGAGTCTTTTAGCTGCAGGGATGCATCCCAACACCCACAGATGTCATTTAGTGCTGAAATCGAAGTATGCCTACTTCCAGAGATGACACCCACTCACTAGGAATATTTATGCAACTATATGGGCAAGGACAGAACTGTGAACATACCTCATCCTCAAGAACACCCTGGCTTAGCATTCTCAGCAGCTGCTCTGAGTCATAGCGGGCAGACATCCTAAGAGATTTCACCGTGCTTCGAGGCAGAGCCTGACTATGAAGCCATTACAGAGAATGCTGGATAGGCAGTATTTTTTAATATCTGCAGATTTGTAAAGTTGATGGTTTTCTCATAGCATTTGTTGCACAAAAAGAAGTGCACGTAAATGAGAGCAGGTCATTATCTGCTAGAAGAAATTGAAGTCTATTTGCCACTGACATACAGTAGAAAGTATCAGATTTGCACACAGTGTTATACAAGTGTTTAGGTTGGCCACTGTATTCTTCTAAATTAAAAGCTGGTTTTTGATTTCTGGATATTCTTTTCCTTCCACTGACCTGAGACCTGCCAACCTCAGTGGAAGGAAGGGATTTGAAATGCTTACGTATTACAGGCCATGTGTGTTTGGATGGGCCACTGCACCTCTTCTTTGCAGGCACCCAGTCCACCTCCCTTTCCTTTACTTGTTCTGTGGTGGCAGCCACCTAATTCTGTTTGGTATCTCACGTAATCCTTGTGGCAATTACAGCAGTTGTGTGTACGATGGTGCATCGAACATTGGTATTATATGAACATTTAATCTGAATGGGGGCTACCAGACCAGTTTCTATAGTTTAAAATATTCTAGCTGGAATAGGGAAGACATCCTGAGGCATGACCATGTGCCAGCTCTCAGTACTATTGAGCATACAGACTGAGTGAGTGTAGGAACTTCTGGCACACGGAATGGTGAGTGTCACTGAAAAATCACTGTCTCAGTAAATGCCGGTATTTTAATGGAGAACACAGTACTATGCATGGAATATGGGAGTATGCACTGCCACTGCAAGAAAAAAAATATCTTGCCTCTAGCTTTATTCTACGTACTGCTTTCCCACTGAGAATCTTGATAATGGAAATGTACAGAGTTATCATTAATAACAGTGAATTTCATGAATATAATCACTGTCAGTACGTTTAGGATGTAGATGGGTTGCACAGTATATCTCTATCATTGATCATGTATGTAGAAACCATTAAAATATATAAAAAAGTTTTAAATGATTAATCACATTCCAAACACAGTGTGAATATAATGAATAGAAATGTTGTGTGTGAGGGAGAAGGAGTTGGTTTTAAAAAATCCTTATTTCTGATCAAAATAACAGAAGAAATATCATTTATCTTGTCACCTCTAGCTTTGAATCAAGTCTTAGAAGTTTAAGCAAATTAACTGCAAAGTGATAAGGTGCTAGTGCAACAGGTTTGCAATTAAGGCACAACAAAAGAGGGTTTATTAGACTCAGAATGTCATTTGGAAGTTTTAATTGCCTTTGCAAGCTAGGGGAAAGTTCATTCTGAATGTTTTACTTATCTTCCAGGAACCATAATTATGTCAGAAGAATTGCAAGATGCTTTAGATAATATGTATGATGCTCGAATTCCAAAACTATGGTTTAGGATTTCCTGGGAGTCGGCTACTTTAGGATTTTGGTTTACTGAGCTCCTTGAAAGAAATCAGCAGTTCAGCAGTTGGCTGCAGGATGGCCGACCAAACCAATTCTGGATGACAGGATTCTTTAATCCCCAGGTAAGATTGCCAGATTGATCTTTCTAACTCCTGTGTAACAGCCAAGTTAGACCTTGAGAGGACTTCAAGCTGACTCAATTGTGACTATACATACTGTAACCTAAATTCAATTTTTAGCACAAATGGAGGATAAACTGGCTTCAATATCTGTTGAAGAAATTTTTGCTAGACAAAAATTGTGTTACTGAAACAACATAATACACCTTCTGGCTGCTTTAATTATAGCACGGAAATTGCGTAAGTATATGTCGTGGTTTAACCCCGGCTAGCAAAATACCACAAAGCCGCTCTCACAAATCCTGCTCCCCCCATCCAGTGGAGGGGAAGAATTGGAGAGAAAAGAAATAAGGAAGCTCGTAAATTTGAGATAAGAACTATTTACTAATTAAATCTAAATTGATATATACAAATACTACTACTAATAAGTAATTAAAATAATAGAAAATAAAACATATGATACAATTAGGATACAGTTTCTCACCACCCACTGACCGATGCACAACCAGGTGCTGAGAAGTGAGAGTGAGACCCAGAGAGCCTGAGAGCCACAGTGTGAGAGCGATCACAGCCTGAGAGGCGCAGCCCAAGGGCTGGAGCCAGAGAGCTGTCGCAGCAGATTCCAAGTGAACCCTATCAGCGATAGCATGACCGGGAAAACTAAACAAACCCACCAACACCCTCACGAACAAGCCAGCACAGGAGTTAGTGAAGCAGCTAATGCAGGAGTCAGGGGGTGGGTTAGCAAGTGGCAGGAAGTAAACGAGCAGGAGAGTAGGAGAGAGAGTAATGGCTCCCAGACCCCCTCCTCACCTCTGCCCCGAGCATGACGTACTATGGGATGGAATACTCCCTTGGTCAGTTTGGGTCAGGTGCCTGAACTGTGTGTCCCAGCACTGCCTGTAGCGAGACCGCGAGAGCTGGGAACGCAGCTGCAGTGTCAGAAGCAGAGAAAGACCTTGAATTCAGTGCAGGCATTCCCCAGCGCCAGCTAAGAACTTATCAGTGCTGCCCTCTGCATCCAGGAACAGCTTCAACTCTTTCCTGGCTAAACCCAGCACTGTATATCTTTTCACATTTCAGCATTATCCTCCTTTTTTCACCTCCTCTGTTACAGTAATCTGTTTTTCATTCATTGTATGGAAATCCCTTTGAGTACAAAGCAAGGTAAGTTTCAGAACTTTGACATAGGAAGAAGGGATTTGGACTTGGCTCTCAATCCTTGCAAATCAGTTCCTTGAAATGGAAAGTTTGTTATTTATACCACCTCAGAATTGTGCCAGACTTGGTAGGCAGAGACATAAAAAAAATACAGCCTCTTGCCTGCACCATCTAAAATTAAAACCTGGCACAAAATGAAATACAGAAAAGGGAACAGCTGAGAACAGAGTCAAAGTAAAGTATACATACCTAGATGATGTGTAGTTTCTTTGCACAGCTATCCACATTCATTAAAGCTTTTTATGATTCACAGATGTTTGTGGGAAGTGCGAGTTGTGGAAATGAGTCATTGTGAGAGTATCCAGCCAACAGGTTTCTGTGAAGCCTTAGCAAAAAGCTATTTTAAAGATCTATTTTAATCTCAGTACTTGTTAGCAATGCAAAAGCTAGCTGAAACAGCTGCCTAGAATAGAGAAAGCAACAGTGGCAAATATTCTCTAGGACTACTGCTGGGAAATATCCATCCATCATCTATCCTGCCTGTGTCAGCTGTCTGCCAATACCGCTTTATAGCATGGAAGTGTGCTGACAGAATCCCTGAGCAAAGGGTTCCCAAGCAAAAGTATGAGGGAAGGGAGTAGGAATTTTAATAAAATGGTTATGCTTCCATACTTGGTTTGTTAGCAACACAATGGTAGTGGCACTCTAAAATATTCCTGAGTAACTTTTGCAACTCTAATAGGCTTTTGGGTTTGCTGGTGTTTGGTTTTGCACTACAAGTGAGCACAGGCTGATACAGATTCTGTACTGGCCATTTAGTTGACTTTTTTAGGCTTTGGGGTTGTGTCAGTTCTGAAATTTTGCCAGCCCAAATTGTGCATCCTACAGTTTTTTGGATCCATATATCTGGATTTCTCAAAAAAGCTGCCAAATAATCAGAGTAAAATATCCCCAAACAAGTACGTGACCATAGCAAGTGGGTACACATAGTTCTAAGTCTCTAAATACAAAGTGTGCAAATTAAAAAAAAAAACAAACCCAAAAAACCAAACAAATCCCAGGATGAGATGTGCTTACCCGATTAAAAAAATTATTTGTGCTGACAATCAAAAGCTTAAGAATCAGATGGTTATCGTTATATTCATTTTCTGTAGCCCAGGGTGTGCGAGTGGCTCATTCTACCAGAAATTCACCTGAGCCAAGTCTCCTTTTCTATTTAATTACCTATTATTTTGTTAATAGTCATATTGCTATAGAATATGACAAGTGTGTTTAGAATCAGTATTGCAGATGTTAAGAAAATTGATTTCATCTTCTCAAGCAAGCTGAGGTGGTGAAGTATTAGTGCTGCAGTTCTAATGGCTTGTCTGTAATACCTGAGAAATTGTCAGAAAAGTCCTTTCATTTGTGAGATGAAATGCAGCTCCTAAGTATTTTGGAATTTGTCTATTTGCATAGATCTCACTGTTCGTTTTATTGTCAGTGGACAACTGCCACAGATAACATAAAACAATGAAATAGATTTATAGCACTGGGAGAATGGGGCATTCTGGCAATAAAAAAATAATATAGGACCTGACTCTGCCTTCTCTTGGACTGTTTATACTCTAGGATAAATTCAGTAATTTCCCAGAAGTTAGTCTTTATTTCATAGAATCACAGAATGGTTTGGGTTGGAAGGGACCTTAAAGACCATCCAGTTCCAACCCCCCTGCCATGGGCAGGGACACCTTCCACTAGACCAGGTTGCTCCAAGCCTCATCCAGCCTGGCCTTGACCACTTCCAGGGATGGGGCATCCACAGCTTCTCTGGGCAACCTGTTCCAGTGCCTCACCACCCTCTCCGGGAAGAATTTCTTCCTGATATCCAATCTAAACCTCCCCGCTTTCAATTTAAACCCGTTACCCCTTGTCCTGTCACTACAGGCCCTTGTAAAAAGTCCCCCCCAGCTTCCCTTTAGCCCCTTCAGGTACTGGAAGGTGCTATAAGGTCTCCCTGGAGCCTTCTCTTCTCCAGGCTGAACAAGCCCAACTCTCTCAGCCTGTCCCCATAGCAGAGGTGCTCCAGCCTGCTGAGCATCTTCATGGCCTCCCCTGGACTCGCTCCAACCGGTCTATATCCTTCTGATGTTGAGGGCTCCACACCTGGACGCAGCACTCCAGGTGGGGTCTCACCAGAGCAGAGTAGAGGGGCAGAATCCCCTCCCTCGACCTGCTGGCCACACTTCTCTGGATACAGCCCAGGATACGGTTGGCTTTCTGGGCTGCCAGCACACACTGCCGGCTCATGTCCAGCTCTTCATCCACCAGTATTTATAGTGATGCGACTGAGAGGAGGCTCGGGCTTCTTAGTAAAAGAAACCTGATTCCTTCTGTGTGTTTGCATTGGGCCAAGATAACGGGTGAATAAACCAAGAACTGCCATGAATTTTCCTCCCTCCTGGAAGTTAATCAGATATTGCTGGATTTTTTCCTCAAAAAACATGACACTATGCATATCTCATTTCTACCTGCCAATTTCATATTGTGGCTGATACTGTTTCATCATCTTGTTTGCATCCCTGTATCCAGTTGCTGTCACTTGTCCTGCATATGGATTTTAAGCCCTGTGAGGCAGAATTGTCTTTCTGGTTGTATAGTACTTAGCATAATGAACCCTCAGCCTATTCCTAAGACCCTTAGCTGCCAAAGCAATGTGAATACTAATAAGAATATGAAGTACAATGCCTCCGTTCCTCAGTGCCCACTTAATTCTAGTAAACCTGCCATGATTTGCTCACTATAGAAATTGCCTAAGTGACAAACAAGGAACCTCCCAAGCAAGGTAAGCGAGACAATATGATTGTGAAAGCAATAGACTTAACTGATTTCCATATTTCTTGCCACAGCTTCCGTAGGTGCCTGCTTCTCCCTGCCTAGCAGGTTCAGAGTTAGTTTGAATGAGTTGTTAGAAGGCAGAAGAACAAAGCATGAGCAGGCCAGGGAGAAGTTCAGGAAAAGGCAGGTGAAGAAAGAAGAAATAATTTTCCCCGTTTCTGAAATCTCAACATGCCCCCACCCACCCCCATCCCCACAAAAAAACCCCAAAACAACAAAACCCAAAAAAAACCCCATGCAAACAAACAGACCAAAACCAGATCAGAGATTGCCAAAAATGAAAACAAACAACATGGGAAGTGGTCCATTACGTGCCTGACAGAGGGGTTTAGGGGGATCCAAGCTCTTAGCCATACAGTGGCACCTCAAAGCACTTGATTGTTTCTCGCTGTTTACTGTGCTGTCCTCCCTCTCTGGGATACCCAGCTGGGCCTCCGGCTCAGGGCTGTAGTCTTTAAACCCTGTCTAGGATTCATTCAAATGAGCAGATAAGTGTTACAAGTCCCAGCGCAGACAGGGTATAAGCCCTGCCATCTCTGTAAGAATAGTCTGCTATCACAATCTTATCCCTGAAGACAACTCACAGCTCTGAGCTTCTATTCCAGTGTTTCGACAGTGCCTTTGAACTGATTCCCTTAATGCATTCATTGCTCTGTCCTGTCCTCTTCAGGCTCTTCTTTCTTTAATATTTCAGTTTATCTGCGATCCAGTAGCCCTCTGGGGCCTCCTGGCAGTGAATACTTTGTGTATTTTAAACTATTGGTTCTAGCATGTTTCTGCAAATTAAAATGCCACAAATTAACTGCAAGGATTCTGCTTTCCTTCAATGGCGTCTCTGATAAAAGAACTCGGCCTTTAATCCTGTCTCCCTTAGCTATATGCTGGAGTTCTCAACTACTTCAAGCGCAATTACAATTATCTGTGCTATCACAAAACCTCTTTGAAACACTTGTCCTGGGGTCTCTACAAATGACATTAGTGAGGAGCAACCAGTGTCAGTTAACCGAAACATCTGAGTTCCTGAATGTCATCTCACACTCTCGTAACTTAAAGGGTGTTGCACAGCTACGAAGTGCTTAGCACGTGCAGCAGGCACTCTGGTCCCAGCAGCCAGAGGTTGGCCTCGGCATCTGGTAGAGCAAAGCACTAATGTCTCCGCATCTGCCTCCTCACCATTCCTTTGGCCCTAACGGTAGCTCAGTAGAGCATCCTGCACCGTGAATGCTGAAGAAAAACAAAAAGCCGCTTCAATTCCCTCATTGCTCCTGATTTCTTCCTAGCTGTGCTGTTGGCTAACACCCACCATTGTGTGTTCCCCATGTGGCTCCGTATTCCCCCATCTCTGTCTCTAGATACCTTCTTTCTCTGTTCTGAAATCTCTCCTGAAACTTCGTCCTTCCTCGTTGTCCTTCTCAGTAAATCCCTCTTGCGTCTTCAGTATTTCTGTTTTATTCATTCACCTCCCGGTGATGCAAATGGGTTTCCATAAGGAAAAGTGAGGTTTACTCTACAGCATGTCCACTGGAAAGGCAGAGCAGTCTTACCCTCCTGTCCCATCTCACAGTGCTAAGGTACTTCCCATGTGCCACAGCCTGCATGCACAGGGACAGGTATAGGAGAGAAGCTAACCAACACCTTCAGCCCGGCCTGTCCTCTGAGAGCTTGTGACCGTACCGTGAGGTTGTAGCTCTTTAGAACAGGGTGTTTCATCCTGTGCTGCTGAAGTGCAGTGATTTTATCTGGTTGGCGTCTACCGCAGTATGTTAGTGTAGTGTATTAAGGCTTTGCGCTGAGCAAAGTGACAGGGGCATTTCACTAGTTAATTGCATGATTCCGCTCGGTGCTTCCTTTGTGTTCTGTAAAATGCTTCATGATTTGTTGACTGAAAAGTGTTTTTACAATGTTGGTATAAGAAAAGGTGAGTAATATAGCACACAAATACCAGTGTTATTTGTGGCATAGTGATTACCTGTATTTGGAACCTCACAAAACACATTAATCTGGCAGCCTTGTAAACCTCTCCATCTGGCTGGTTGTAAAGGTGGCAGGTGAGGTGAGTTATACATACAGCTTCTGATATGTTAAATAAGCCGCCTTCGTGGCCTCCTAGCACCAACACATGCACACCAAGTATTTCAGCAGGCTGGAGCACTTCTGCTATGGGGACAGGCTGAGAGAGCTGGGCTTGTTCAGCCTGGAGGAGAGAAGGCTCCGGGGAGACCTTATAGCACCTTCCAGTACCTGAAGGGGCTACAAGGAAGCTGGGGGACGGGAGGACACAGACTTTTTGCAAGGGCCTGTAGTGACAGGACAAGGGGTAACAGGTTTAAATTGAAAGTGGGGAGGTTTAGATTAGATATCAGGAAGAAGTTCTTCATGGAGAGGATGATGAAGCACTGAAACAGGCTGCCCAGAGAAGCTGTGGATGCCCCATCCCTGGAAGTGTTCAAGGCCAGGCTGGATGAGGCTTTGAGCAACCTGGTCTAGTGGAAGGTGTCCCTGCCCATGGCAGGGGGGTTGGAACTAGATGGTCTTTAAGGTCCCTTCCAACCCTAACTGCTCTGTGATTCTATGCAAGAATGCATGGTACTGGCTGCATCCCAGGTGTAGGAAAGCATTCGATTTACACTACTGAATTTAGTTTTCTATGTCCGTCAGGTTCTGTGGGATGACATTTTATACTGCTGATGTCACTTATATAATAAAAAAAGTTGGGAATGGGTAAATTCAAGTTTTTTTTAAAACCCTCTAAGTCGAATTCAATCTCCCTAGGGATTCCTAACTGCTATGAAGCAAGAGACAACGCGCATGAATTTAGCAAAAGGGTGGGCACTCGACAGCGTTGTTTTGCACAACGAAGTGACCAAGATGATGAAAGAAGATGTTGTTGGTCCTCCTCCTGCTGACATCGGTGGGGTTTACATATACGGCCTTTTCCTCGAAGGGGCAGGTTGGGACCGCAGAAACAGTAAGCTGGTCGAGTCAGCACCAAAGGTAAGGATCAATTGAGCATGACAGACTGTGACATCCTACGCTGTGCTCAGAGCATGGCAAGAAGTATTTTGAGTGCCTGCAGCGGTAGTTTCACAACAGGTTTTAAAAAGGTAAAACTCTATCAGGGCTGGGAGGAGGACAGGGTGTTTACCCACCAGAACTGAACAAAAAGACTTCTGTCAGAAAATTAATTTAGGGTGCACTGCACTGCATCTTCTTGGGTTGGAGGTGCTGGGCTTCTTGGCTTCAGGGGCCCTAGAAGCACAGCTATATTTGAATAAAATAGTGCAACCCATGGTCAGACTTCTTTTGACTGACCAAGTTGGGACCCTATCACGGTTTCCAAAGCCCAGGGCTAGGTTTGATGACAGCTGCTGTGGAGGTCAGTGTTTGGATAAATAAAATCCCTGGCATTTGTTTTTTAATAGGAGGAAGAGTATTAGTTCTGGGCTTATGCTCAGTTATCCATGCATGGAGTTACATTTTGCTGATGTGACTAAGCAGATTTAAAATCTAGCTATGGAGTAGCGATTAGATGCTGTGGTCAATGCCCAGGGAAAGCTGCCATTGTCTGCACTGGTAACCTTTTTCCAAACCAGTGATAACTGTTTTGGAATTGGAGTTGAGATAATTCCTCTCTGTAGGTAAAACATTTCTGTGTCTTGCTGAGAGCAAACTTTTACAAACAAAAGCTTGATGGCTGTAGCTTCTGTTGCCCGGTTTGTCAAAAGACGCCTTCAAACATGGAGTTCACACAAATGCTCTGGAATGTTCAGCACACCTCCACATTATTCTTGGGTTTGGGTCTTTCCCTCCCCCACCAATGAATACTTTATATTGCTGGAAGACCTGAGGGGATCTAGTCTGGATAAATACCCAAGAGGCACCTTGGATCTTTGAAGCTCCACTGCCAGCAGTGCAGATGTAACAGGGAGGCTTGCTAAATGCAGCTTGGTCTTTGTAGGTCCACTCCTGCCATTCAGGGAACAGGAGATGGGGAAGGAATAGGCAACACTAGCCAAAGGGGCCAAGGATGGCAAAGACAACAATGGTCTCTCTCCCTCCTAGAATCACCCTGTCATTTTTCCCATCTACTTCCATGGCGTGCAGATTTCTAGGTGTCTGCTGCTTTCTTTTCCTTCCAGGTCTCCTGATGTCTTTTGTCCCTGAGCTGCCACTTGTTTAAAGTTAGGGTCAGTGTAGTGGTGAGCCGAGGACTTGTGTTCTTGCGTGTACCTGCTGAGGTGCTGGTGCCTTTGCTGAAGGCCATCGCTGAATCTAGTTCCAGCCTTTGGAGTTCAAACACCCTATCCTGCTTCTCTAATGCTGAGCCCCATGTCTCTCAACTTTTTCAGGTGCTGTTCACAAGTCTTCCTGTAGTCCACGTGTACGCTGTTAGCGCGACAGCACTGCACGACCCGAAGAAGCAACAAGGGAGCGTGTACTCCTGCCCTGTCTACAAAAAGCCTCGGAGAACAGATCTGACGTACATTTTCTCTTTGTATCTGAAAACAGTGCAGAATCCTGATCACTGGACTTTACGGGGAGTTGCACTGCTCTGCAGTTCAAAATAAGGACGGATGGCTCGTGGGAAGAACCACCTAGGAAGACTAATCTGCAGCCAGTAGGACTTTCACTGTGATTTTCAAAGTAGTGGCTACCTGCTCACGGGGGTATGGGAGTTAGCAAGTGATGTACAGAGCTTGTGTTAATTGCACATAGATCAGTTTAGTCTGTTCACAGTAAAAATACTAAATGCATTTATCCTGGGAGTATCAGAAGGAAAACAGTTGCAGGTGTCAAATTTGGCAACTGTTATAAAGCAAGTGAAGATATAATCAGCTAGCTTGCTCGCAGTGGAATCACTAGGAAAAACGTGCTTATGATAGTGACGACTGCTCTAACACTATGGTGGTTCTTTTGTAGTTGTCTTTTCTTCCTAATTGAAGACTTCTTCGTAATATTATATAATTCTTTTTAAATGGAATTTTGTAGTTAAAAACTTGTCATCTGTAGCATTACTAAAGCTGTAATGGCCGGTGAATTAAACGTATGGTAAAACTTTGTTTATCTGCAGATATTCCAATGCACAGTTCCTATGATTTTCCATTTGTAAACTTACTGCGTGGTTTTACAAATGGATGCTACCGTTCCCTTGGATAGTCACTGGTTCTCGCAAACAGCTGTAGGAGTTCGTGCAACAGGCAAGTTTATATTTGCACGAGTCGTGGCCTTTGCACACGTTAATACTTTCTAAATTTACCTCCTATTATAAGGAAGACGTAAACCTCCCTCTCCAACTATTAATGGGAACAAAGTTTTGAGACTCATCTCAGAGCAAACACATCTGAACACCAGGTTGGCTCTGTTAGTATTTGCTCCGTTGGCGTTATTGCCTGAATCCTGCAAACTCAGATCTCTTAACTGCTTTTTATTCTACATTTTGCATCAGTTTAGGTAAAAAAAAAAAAAAAAAGTAGAAGACGCACAGGCCATTTCTGGGAATAGATTCACCTGAAATGGTTGAAGTCATTTTTGTGTGTTCCCACTGTTGCTGCCTACCCTGTAATTGAAAGGTGATTGCTACCGCTCTTTTAATAGACAGACGGCTATTGGCAGAAAATGTGTTTGGCTTTTTTCACTATCACAAATTCAAAGCAAAAGAAATTGCTGTTGGATGTCGTGAAAAGAAGGACTTGCAGTGAATGCTTTGTTAATCACTTTTTTCTCCTTGTAAACACTTTCAGTTTTTGTACCAACACTTCAATTTCTTTTCAGCTGGTGCCTAAGAAAGTCATTCACCCTTTCCCATAACCAGTTTTACTCTGCAGTTAGCAACTGCAGGGCTCTTTCCATGAGGAAGTTTGGTATTCACACTCCCACCCACAAAAAAAGCAGAAAGTGCCAGATTTGTTCTTGGAAACCGGAGCAGACAGGGACAAGGTCCCTTTCTCCCACTGAGCCGGGAGCAGCACTTCTTTCACACACTGTGCCGGCAAAATTGTCTCACCAAGTGAAATCACCTTTTCAAAAACTACACCCCAGGCCTGCATGCGGCACAGCTCTACATCAACCGGCTTCATGGGGAATTTTGTTTCTGAGGAGGGTGAAGGATCTGGCCTCAAGATCATTGCTCTTGGAAATTATGAAAAAGATAAAAGGGACTCGAAGCAGGAAGAGGCTGTGCTGTTGTACAGAAATTGAGGTTGTAACCCACAGTCCTCTCCCCATACCTGACCTGTGTGAGGGGATATGGGGTAAATTAACTTCAATCTCTTGGTTCATGTAAAATTCAAGTCAGTAGCACCGATGGTAACTTAAAATGAAGAGAGTACATTGAAATACTTTGCACACCTGAAGAACTCACTACTTGCTACGAAAACAAATCATCCTCTGAACAACTGGAGTTAGAGGTAAACATTAAAAATACATAATTGATAGAGGTTATATGTGGTGCTACATGATAAGCTCCATGGAAACCGCATCACTTCCTTTCTTTGTCAAGTAAAATGAGAAAATTAAATCCTATATAAAGAAAATCTACAGGCAATTATGTTCTAGCACTTAGTGTTCTGCTGTCAAAAAAATGCAAGAAACAGCTTCTTTGAACTTTGACATTTTCATTTCAATAACTAAATCCTGTTTGTCGGTGTAGGAAAGCGTCGTATCTTGCAGAACAGAATGCAGGCCATATCACAGAAGACCAAGGCAAATCCTACAGTGTTTCACTGGAGATAGCTACAGTTTTATACGGAACTGGGAGAAGAACATACTGGTTCCAGAAAAGACTTCTACAACTAGTAAAAAAAACCAAAACAAACAAAACCCTCCAAAATATCCTACAGGCAACCCCCCCTTTTTTTTCTATTTTTCCTTTTTGCATGTATTTGCAGTACAGCAGAGATGTACAATTACTGTTAAAAGAACATGTCTTCCTCTCCCTGTTGCCCTCTCTTGCCCCATCCGGCCCTTCCGTTCAGCAGAGCTGCTGTTTCCAATCTGACAACATTAATTTGATTTGAAATGTCATTGACATAGTGTAACATCGACCTTTCCCAACCAGTGTGCCCTAGTTACGATTGCTAAAGCTGTTTCAATCAAATATGTGATGTACACCAGACTAAATGAAAGAACTGGCAGGCAGAATATTTGAAATCAAACTAATTATATTTCAATTACAGATTAACAATTAGCTGGGAGTCCTCAAACAATGTATATAGATAACGAAGTTATGCTCTGCTGTTAAAATGAATCTGAGATATTAAATACAATCATACAGCTTTTGGCAATATTGTACAAGTTCCACACAGATAGTAATGGCTAACACTGCTTTAGATAAGTGCTTTGAAGGCAACTCTGTTTAAGAATGAAGAGAGGAATACAGTCCTGCACCCCATGTCAGCATAGCGGCCGTGTTTACAAACATATCTGATGTCAGGGCACTGGCTCCTGTAACAGCATTCCATACTCCAAAGGGTGTCTGTCTCATAATCCCTGAGGCTGTGGCTGGTCGATAACGGTGAGGATAGGAAACAAAAAACTGGGTTATGGATTGGCCCTGTACTTGAAGTGGCTTTGTAGAACAGATTTTAATTGCGGCGAAGCTCAGAAAAAGCACAGAGGGTGGAAAACAAAACAATCCCCTTGTCTGGTTGTTTATGTTCAGGAACCCTATGATCCTCTGGATAGAGTGACAATTCTTTAAAAGATCTGGAAGAAAATTCACTTACAATATTCTATCTTTTTTCTCTATTTATCCAGAACCCATGCATTGAACTTACTCCTCTTTTACAGCTTCACGCCCTTGCCTTTCTCACAGTTGCCTTTCCGTAACATGAATAGGATACCTCATTCTCTTTTCCTCCTGCTATCCCATACTTAATGTGTCTTCTGCTTTTTTATTCTTACTCCACAAGTGCAGAAAATGCATTGCTTCCGTACACCAAACCTTCCTCTTCCAGAACTCTGGAAATAATATGCAGCCACTTCAGGAACCTCTCTTCTGCACTGAGAAGAACCACACTTTACTCAAAAACCTATCATTCCTGCCACATTTTGTCACACCCTGGATAAAGCAGAAATTTCCTCGTTCTGCTGTTCCAGTGAGGGCCCTTAAATGAAAAGATTTGTATTACTCAAGGGATATTTCTCATCGTTTTTCCTCTTGCTAGTATGAAGTAATAGCTTTGTTATTGTTTTCTGATCAGAGGAGTTGGTGTAAGATAATAGAAACTGTCGTTACACCTTTGTACATAAAACTGAAGACAGTGATTGGGCTGTAAATTTACTGCCAAGTCAATCTTGAAGCGACAAGCAGGTTTCCATCTCCCTGTGACGGGCGAGTTCCATTGGGGTTAACGGCAGCTATCGGCACACTGCGAGACAGAGGGGGAGCCCCTTCACTCCCTTTGCATGGCTTGGCTTTTGTCAGGAAGACACCACTACAGACACCTGTGTAAATGATTGAACAACACCAACACGTTTTGTGAAATAACACCAAATCACACATTTTTCACAAGCTGAGAGAATACACACTGCGTTATCTCTTGTTCAGTAAGGAGGGTACGGCGTGTTTGCTGATGGATTCCCTATGCCGACTGCTTTAAGTCTAGCAAAGGGACATCATCTCCTCCTCCTCCTTCTTTCCCTTCCTGCTTAAAAACAACTTCTGGGATTGTCACTCCTTTTTCAGTTGACTGGGAAGCACCTTTTGTTGCGCTGTTCTTGTCTGTCTTTACCTTCGTGATCACTTCTGTGTAAGAGATTTCTTCGGTGAAGGGCTCTGCTGCTGCAAGCTCAGAGGCGATGTGCACGCTGGCTTCCTGGATCCCCTCCTGACCTTCGGCTCCTGTTCGTTCCTTATTCTTTTTATGGATCTTGAACGTCTCCTTTGTTGGGGCAGCTTGTGAAATGGTTTTCTTGATCCTTATCCCAGATTGTTTCAGTCTCTCTCCTGACTGCCTGATCCTCTCTCTCCTCTCAGGGGTCACTATTCTAGTTCGAAGCCTGTTCACCTTCTTGCCAAAATTTTGTCTTGTCTTTTGGATATTTTCCCTGGAAAAAGCCTTTTTGATATCATCTATGCGCCTCATTCCTGATTTCTTGAACTGGGTTGCTTTGCTTTCTTCAATATAGTATTCTTCATCAGAAGAGAGATCATCAGGTGGGAAGAAATCATCCTCTAAAGCTTCACCTGCTGTCCTCTCTTTGATAACAGAGAGAGATGAAGGACACTCGCTTTCCTCCTGTGAATGAAAGCACAGAGTCATCTTCCAAGAAGTGTGTTTTACAAGGGTGGTGATTCAAGCATTTTGCTTGCTGGCTTGTAGTTAATTAATGCTAACTGAAATACAATATAGTAATAAGGTGTCGTGGTTTAGCCCTGTCGGGCAATTAAGCACCACCAGTCGCTCTATCACTCCACCCTGTGTCGTTCCCCCCCCCCCCGTGGGGAAGGGTCAGAGGGAAAAAACCAAGGGAGGCTT